TCCTTATCTAGATTGCCACTGAATATGCTCAGATGCAACCACTAGAACAAGAGTTTACACTGTATGTCACAGATGACTCCTGTTTTTTCTTCTTGGGCTACTGGGTCTTTTGGTTTACTTAAGATGTTTTGGAGGGCCTTAGTTGGTTGGTGTGCTGCGGAGATGCCATGTGGTTGTAATAGTCTGTTGCTTGTTTCTGAGATGTTTCTGATGCATGGCAGTGTTATCCTTTTCATAGCTTGTGTTGGTTGTGTTGTAGTAGGTTGAGTGGTCAGGCACTTTTTGATAAAGTTGCGTGGATGTCCGTTTTGTTGGAAGGTGTTGTATAGGTGGTCCGTTTCCTTTTTCTACAGTGTGTCACCTTCTTCTGCTTAGCAAACATGTTTTTTTTGGGGGGGGGGGTTGTTGATTTCATCAGATTTGTCTGATGTATCAACTGATTTCCAAGTCTTGTGGGTGTAATGAGATTTAAGTCATCTGGCTTCTTGTGTTGCCATTCAAAGACATTCTGCTGCTGTGCTATTTTTCTCTTCAATACAACTTTTGGAAACATGGAAGAGGTGGCTGGAAAACATAGAGTTGCAATGGAAACAAGGCTTTCTAGAAAGCTTTTAAAATTCTATGACAGTTTTGCTTAGAAACATTGTTCATCCCATTTATTCACTTATGCATATGAGTCAAAACTTAACTCCTGATAACCAAATTAAACTGGTTTGCCATTGTCTTCTTCCAGGATCGTTTTGTGACTTCATAGTCTAACCCACAGCCATAGAATTCCCCTGTGATCTTCCATCTAAGTACTAATCAGGTTCAAATCTGCTAAGTGTCTGAAACCTATAAGAATAAGTCGTATTCAACTCAATGTGATTTTCAATGACAATATTCTTTTAGATGGGATTTATCTGTGGATATATAAATAGACTTGGCTGCAGTTCTCAAGAATTATTTTCCATGAACTTGGTGAAATGGCTAAGTAAATGTTTGTAAGATTAGACTGTAAGTAAAGTATACTTTCTTTGGATGAGTAAATTGTTTAAGGGAATGAAAAATAACAGGTAGTAGAAACAAGCAGGTGCTGCTTTCACTAGTAAATCTCCTCAGTGGGGAGAATGGTTTTAGATCTATTCTTCCCATTGACAAAATGTCCTCTTTCTATAGCTGGGACTAAATTACATGTGTTTGAAATTTGGCTCAGCACTATGGACAGTAGCCAGTGAACATCTTCCCCTGAAGAGCAGGTCTCAGCAGAGCAGAATTCCCCTTCCTGAGGCAGGTGGGTTGTGGTGGTCTCACATTTAGAGAGTTGCAATTATCACCTTCCAAAGCTGATTTCTAAGGAGTTGCAGGCAGGAAGGAGAGGAAATCAAAGCTTGTGTTTAAAAAGTAGATATTTGGAAATGACTGAACCAAAAAAAAAAAAAAAAGACGTACATGGAAAGGAAAGAGTTGGCCGAAAAGCTCTCTCTCTTTTTAGGGGTATGAAGTGGGCAGCATATCTATTAATTAGTAGGAGTGGGATTTTTTTTTTTTTGCCTCCTGGTCTTGCATCGTCTATAATTTTGTAAATAAAGACCACAGTATGAAAACACCAGATGTCTCCAGTGCATGGTCTTCCAAAGGAAACCAAACCTTTGTAAAACTGCTCCTCCTATCAGTATATTTTACCAGTTGAAGAATCAGAGAGCACTCTGTGATAACTCTTAGACAACCAGAAAGGTATACATAAAAGAAGAAAAGCAGGCTGAGCAGAAAGCAGATATACTCCTACCGATCCCTGAGGGATCTGAAGTAGACCAGATTTTCTCTGAATGAAACAAGGCCACAACAAATATAGGAAAATGTTATGATCTTAATTCCAAGGGCTGGGCTATGTGGTTTTGTAGGAGTAGTTCCAGTTGGTGGATCTGAGGGTTCTAGCAATCTGTCTATTCCCTATTTTTTTTGGTGCAGATAAAGGACCTTTGGGAGATGGACCAGTGAAATGGTGCAAAGGAAACAAAGCTTTCAAGTTCTCCAGAAGTTTTCATCAGGCAAGATGTTACCACAGGCAGAAGCCAAAAGTTGAAAAATGGACTAATTGACATATGAGCAGTGTTGGTCATGGGTCATATCACCCAAACACATTTTGCAACCCATCTTTGTGGCTAGGAGTCACTATGAGAAACCCTGAAGTCAATAGCTATGAACTCATCTGATATCTAAATTAGAGGATCATCTTTTGTGGTGTTACCTGAAACTCCAGATGCAGCATGCTAGTCCTGGTTTAGGTGTTGTTGCCCCTACTGCATATGAGAGTAAAGCTGGAAGATACAGATCCACATATTTTCCATTTGCTTAATGTTTGCTGATGCCCATTACTTGACAGTGCCACTTAGTACAGAGGATTACAGATAGTCCTCACTTAATGATGGTAATTGGGACTGGAATTTCCATCACTAAGTGATGTGGTCATAAAATGCAACATCACATGACCGCATCACTTAGTGATGGCAATCCCAACATTAGTGATTGGGGCTGAAAACACTCATAGACAAATTGTCTGCTGAGGCAAGCTCCTGCAGAGACATTACCTATATCTTACGACCACAATAAGGACTGGAAAATTCATCGTTAAGTGGTATGGTCATTAAGCAAGGCATCATGTGACTGCATCCAATTTTATGACATTTTTTGCAGTGGTTGTTAAGTGAATCACCATGGTTGTTAAGTGAATCACATGGTTGTTAAGTGAATCATGTGGTTCCCCATTGATTTTGCTTGTCAGAAACCAGATGGGAAGGTCGCAAATGGCAATCTGGTGACTCTGGAATGCCGCAGCCATCATAAATACATGCTGGTTGCCAAGTGCAAGGATGCTGCAATGGCCCTAAGTGTGAGAAGTGGTTGTAAGTCACTTTTTTCAGCACTGTCATAACTTCAAACGGTTACTTAATGAATGGTCGTAAGTCGAGGACTACCTGTACAGAACCATCAGTGTTGAGTGCTCTGGGCCAGGACAAGGGGAGGGATCAGGAGTCATAGCTGCTGGCAAAAATATATCATTGTGCTGAGGCAGTCTGAGTGACTCTCTGGAAGGCAAGTTTCAGTCACATCAGAGCTCAGAAGGCAGAGTTCCTGCAACCAAAGGGAGGCAGAAATGTATTGAAACTCCTTGTTTTCCTTCTGGCTTGAGTCATATTCCTCTAAATGCTTTATGGGTGATGCATTACTCACCACCAGTGAGTACTGGACTTACTGGGATAGTGAGTCTCTGAACCCCTCCTCCCAAACTTGATGTTTGGGGTATGGGACTAGACAAGCACAAGTCATGTTTTCAGATTGAGATTGTCTAGGCTGAACCCCACCAGCCATGGATCTTGCACTTCCTGTCGAGATGTAATGATTCATGGGGGTATGTTGCAGGCTGCTTCTGCTACCGAATGAATTGACAAAGATTCAGTAGATTATTATTTAAACCAGGGATTTTCAGCCTTTTTCAGGCCATGGAAC